TGTAAATGCGTCCAAACGATTTCCTTCATGTCGCACCGTCCATTTCGGCTGCCGAATTCGGAACTGGCCGCATTAAGCCCGTAGCTTAACTGGCACCCAAAACTGAAACAGCATTTCAAATTAAACTAAATGATTAATACATGAAAACCCTCTATATTGCGAGTTCCTGTCAAACTGAATAGCTGCTGTTAAATGTTGCCACACACCTTTTCAAACACGACAATTATGTATCTAATAAAACTAACTAACAAATAATTTATCTACATAGATAACAGAAAAATGTAACAGCCCAATCCCGTTGTCACAATTTCACGCATTCTTGACATTTCGTTGACATCCTCTTGTCAGAAATCCATGCTTTGGCAGTCAGTCGGGTTGTTTAACCCATGAGTTATTTGAGAACCGATGCGGGGTAAATGGGACAAGATGTGCGCATCACATATATACTCTATCTCTCTCTTTCGCTTCTTGCCTCTCTCCCTTTCTTTATCGGTCTGTTATCTGTTGACCACACTTGTGGCTCTTTCCCTTTCTTCCTAATATACAAAGAAACTAAACGGGACATTTTGCTGCTTCTCTCTCTCTCTCTCTCTCTCTCTCTCTCTCTCTCTCTGCCTGTCTCTCTATTTCTCTTTCTATCTGGCTGTCTCTCTTTCTCTCGCTCTCACTCTCTTCCTCTCTCCTTCTATCTTTCCCTCTATCTTTCAATCTTTCGCTCACTTTCCTTCTTTCTTTCTATCTCTTTCTATTTCTCTCTCTCTCTCACTCTCTCTCTCTTTCTCTGCCTCTCTCTATCTCTATCAGCCTCTCTCTCTCTCTCTCTCTATCTGCCTCTCTCTTTCTCTCATTCTCTCACCGTCTCCCTCTCTACTTCTATCTTGCTCTCTCTCTCTCTCTTTCCATCTTTCGCTCTCTTTCGCTCTCTCTCTCTCTCTCTCTCTCTCTCTCTCTCTCTCTCTTTCCTTTAATGTACGATATGGTGGAGTATATCTCATATCTCTCTTAACTTTTTTCTTCTTATCCCTCTCTTCTTCTCTGTCTCCGTCTTCGGCTCAACAATTTTATCTTGACTGTCGCTCTCTTTCATGTTTCTCTATCTCTGTTTCTATCCCATTCACTCCAACACTTTTCCTCTCTGTTAGCTTTTTTCATCTTATATTTTTCCCTCTTTCTCTGTCTGTCTTCCTTCCTCCCATTAGCCCTCTGCTCTGTCTCTCTCTCTCTATCTTTCTCACTTATTTTTCTCAATCTCTATATCTATCCCACTCACTCTCTATCACTCTTCCTCTCTCGTTCTCTCGCCTGAGCACACTTCTTGTTTATTCCCCTCTCTTCTTAATACACACACACAAAAGAAAGGGACAACTTTCTGGACGACAACTTTCTCTGGCCCTCTCCCTCCCTATCATCGCGAGATCGTAATGCCCCGCGCCAAGGTTATGAACGTTAAAATTTATAACATTTCGCTTAGCTTTCAGCAGTCGATTTTTTCAAAATTTATGTTTATGTTGGTTCCAAATTTGTATATTATAATTGCGACAAGGGGATAACGGTGCCAAAATATGTACACGAAATTTATGGATAAAACATGGCAATTTCTTTACTTGCTTTGCTTACATATTTATTTATATTTTTTTGCGCTTTACTTTTTTGCTCAACATTTTCGACTTGTGGCGATTTATCATAATTTTGCGTTTTTTGTTGCCTTTGGCATAAATCAGGCAAAAATGCAAACGCTAAGACGCGGGCAAAGCCGAAAGAAGGGTATGAAGCGGCAGGGGGGAGGGGCAGGGGGGGAGGTGGCTAGTGTTGTAGATGCTGCTGCTGCTGTTGTTGCTGTTGCTGTTCTGGCCACAGTTTTGCAGGAGCAAAAGGAAATAACCAAAAGCTGCAACAATGCTAATTACCGTTACCCGTTTGGCCCAATTTTAATTCGTTTTAATTAAAATTAATAAGCGCAGTCGAAATCGTATGTTTTCACCTGTTTCTAGCCGAATGTGACAGGGAAATGGCGGACGGACACTCGATTAACTGTATTTGTCAAATTATGTCAACTAACGGCGCTTTGCGGCGCCCTCTGCTTGCCAGCTCATTAAATGCGTGCTGGGCTACATAACGGTACTCTCGCAGCGACACAATTTTGAATATGTGAGCGCACAGTGGCGCAAAATGCGAGCGCATTGCCAACAATTGCCCAAAGTGCGGCACAAAAGTATGCAATATATATTTCTAAATATATATATTTGTATATATATAATATTTCAAGACTTACCCCCACTTCCGATGGCGTCGGTGGACAGTGTGCGTGCGGCGCTGCCAACTGTTGGCAAATTTATGCACTGCCGCTGCTGCGACAAAAGGACACGGCACTAAGGACAACGTGTGCAAATGAGTTTTGTTTATGCGCGCCGTTCGCGGGGCCGCCTGTCACTTGATTTATGGTGTGACCAAAACACTTAAAGATGCTGCGGCGCCACTTTCAGCTTTTGGACTTTATGGTCAGCAACTATTGTTGTTGTTGCTGTTGTTTTTGTTGCTGCTGCTGCTGTTAATAATATTGTTGTTGTCGGCAATATATGTACCAACTATTGTCGCTGAATCTGGCGGCGACGCCGTCTGCACGTGGCGTCCAAATCAGTAGCCATGGCATCGGCCAGGCATTGTTTTTGTTTATGATTTGGCTTGGAATTATGTTTGGTTGATGCGCTCAACACTGCTTGGCGCACTTTGTCGCACCTAAACAACAATTATCAATTCACAAATTGTATGTTCACTGCACTCGAACGACCACAACAACAAAAAAATTGAATAACAATATAAGGACAATATGCACGTGATCCAAAGTCTATTGTATTTATTTGAAGCGCGTTGAATTTTTCGCTTTTGCGTGCACAGCATCCGACTGGCTTAAAGGTTTACAGCTAACTGTTAATTTGCAGATTCAAAATAAAGCTGTCTCGACTATATTTTGCAATAGCACAAAATGCCCACAAAAACGGCAAACATCGATAACATTCAGTATTTTTACTGCACTGTCGATACTTAACAGTGCTATGCGGCTGTTAAAGGCCTGTTATGACAGCGCGCGCTAAGCTGCCTTAAAAATATATCTAATAACATATACAATTTAACATTTAGAAAGCACTCAGTTAATAATATACTATATAATAATGCTTAATAAGCAGCAGTGGTATTTAAAGGTATCAAATTAGGTGTTTATAGGCTTTGAAACACTTTGCATTTTGAAACAAATCTCTTAATGACGTATTTATGCATATTTCATGTTTACCTGAACAATTCACTCGTATAGTCTTATCAATTATAACGTTTGATTATGCTATTATGTTAGTTTACTTATTTGAATGCTAGCGCACACTTTAAGTTTTGTGTGTGCCCGTTTTAAAGTCCAAATTGAATGCTAGTATTTTTATGGCGACAGCGACAATACCCAGTTGCCAGCTCGATAGCACAGACGACTATCGGGATTGCCAATCGACACAAGTACAACTACGTGGCTGCCGCTGTTTGGAAAATTTACAACAATTTCCACGCAAAAACTATAAGAAAATCAGCTTAAAGCAGTGACACCACAATGCAAACAACAGTTGCCAAAGTACTGCTCACATTATGTGGCCTAATACTGCTGTCAACAGCGGGCCAGGCCTTCATTGTCAGTGTGGACGCGCATAACGAGGAATGTTTCTTCGAGAATGTCGAAGGTGGCACAAAATTCGGTGAGTAAACCCCTGTCAAAAATACACTGCCATTACGCAGAATAACAGTGTCCAATTGCAGGCGTAACATTCGAGGTGATTGAGGGCGGCTTTCTGGATGTGGACATCAAAATCACCGGGCCCGATCAGCATGTCATGCACGAAAGCGAAAAGGAATCTTCGGGCAAATACACATTCGTTGCGCCTGCCAAGGGTGTCTATACCGTTTGCTTCAATAACGAGCGCAGCAGCATGACACCCAAACTGGTCATGTTCTCCATTGAAATGGGCGATGCGCCGCAGCGTGCACCGGGCGCACCCGGTGAAGAGGAGGTGGGCCACACCAAGCTCGAGGACATGATACGCGAGCTATCCGGCACGCTGACCAGCGTCAAGCACGAGCAGGAGTACATGCATGTGAGTGCCAGCTGTTGCCAGCTGCAAGTTGCAACATGCCACTAATTGACACACTGTCTCTTTTGTTGCGTTATTGTTGTTGCAGGTGCGCGACAAGATTCATCGTTCGGTCAACGAGAGCACCAACTCGCGTGTCGTCCTATGGTCGACATTTGAGGCCCTCGTCCTGGTTCTGATGACCGTCGGCCAGGTGTATTACCTCAAACGCTTCTTTGAGGTCAAGCGCGTTGTGTAATCCCTGTGCGCCTTGTGCGTGCGCGTGTACAGAGAGCGAATGTGTTGCAGTGTCTCAGCCTAATTTTAAATGATTTATTAAATACCTTTTTTGTAACAAATTTAAGCAACAGCTAAACATTCATTTCTTTCACTTCTGCGGGCAGCCCTCCCCCCCAATTCGAAATTTCGACAAAGACTGCCTAGCACGACTTAAGCAGGTTTATTTAGACAAGTGTTTGGAATTTAAGCTTATTTACGATGTCTTACCGAACTCAGGTGGAGCATGGCCAGCGTTGTCATATATATACCTATATATATACCTATATACCTATATCAATTTGTAATTAACATTTTGTGGACATTTTTACAATCGTCCCCAAAAAATATGGATAGTATTAATACATACGCCATATGCTGTAGAATTTTTTTGATATGTATATAAAATCTTGCTATAAATCTGAAGCTGCATTAAAGATGGATAATTTAAAAAAATTAATGTCACATAAATTAGCAAAATTTGGCAATTACAAAATGCACATAGTTATCTTAAACAACCAAACATTTTCTGCCTGCAATTAGAAATTTCAGAGCATTGTGCAATAAATCCTGATCTTTTTTAAAACTTTGTTATCAAATTACAAAATTACTATCACGTAATCATTATATGTAATATATTTTAGATGCATTTTGCAATTAAACAAAAGACAGATCTGCGTGCTACTTCGCTTCAAGCGTAAATTACACAAATTAGACAAAGATGAGCATATAATAAAGATAGATAGATATATATATATATATATGCATATATAGATTAAAGTATATACGATTAACAAATGCAGTCATCCTCTACTTGGCGGGGCTTACAATAATCGTTTATGTGTCTCTTTCAAGTCGCGGACCTTCTGCCGTAGTCGAGCACCGTCTTTGCATAGTCAGCAATATGGAGGACGCCGTGTTGCATGGATGCAATGTGCAGATTGTTGCCGTTCATATAGTCCGCGTTAATGTGCGGATTCTGGAGCTCGGCTATGAGCGTGGAGCACGCTGCTGCCGGATCGCCAGTGCCAACAAGCATTTGCTAAAAGCAAATAAATATTTGAATAATAGAACTCCTCTGTTGGGCCGAGCTGCTTACCGCCCAGTACTCGTTGCCCGGCAGGGCGTTGCCATCCCAGGCGTATGTGACAATGGGCAGCATGTTCTCCGTTAGCTTGTCGGCCGGATTGCGCACGGAGATGTGCACCTTAATGCCGCCCTGCGGATGTTGGGGCTCCGTTATGCAGGCGCCATCATGCAAGCCGCCCCATTTGTCGAGATGAAACCAGGAGAAGTGCACGACGCCAATGTGCGTCAGACGCGGACTGAGTGCACGCAAACGCTGCTCAAAAGTCTCGAAGAAGATCTCCTCCTGCGTCGGCGACACCTTCCATACGCCCAGGCCAATGCCCACGACATGTATGTACGCCGGTTTGCCTGCCCTGGCGGCGCGTGCTTCCGCCTCCAGTAGCAGCGTATCAAAGCTGATGGCGTAGCGCTTGCTCATAACAAGCTTGTCGAACAGCATCTTGCTATCCAACTCTATGAAGCGCTTGCCATCCGCCTGGACATCATTGTAGCAGTAGTCCTTGGGCTCCGCATAGAACTGGCGCCATATGCGACGATAGTCCTGCGCCCGATTACCGCTGCCTCTGGTTCCATAGCCTCGGTCTGCAGTATTTTGCTCTGGCGTTATCAATATATCCTCGCACTCCATGACATTGCTACGCTCGAAGCGCGCCCCAATTAGGCCCATGATGACGCCCTCGGTCTCAATCTTGGATTTGTCCGGTTCCACTTTGCCTGCATTTGCGCGCGAGCCGTCATTAATGAATTCCGAGTGCGTGGACGCATAGAGCAAGGCCGATAGCTTGATTTCATCATAGCTGAGCACATTCTCGAGCACAAGTGGAGCACGCTCTGTGCTGGTGCCGATCCGCTCAAAGCCACCTTCTCCCCTGCTGCCGTCCAGCAGCATAAACGCGTCCGACGAGGTAAAGAAATATACACAACGCTTGCTGAGCAAGCGCTGCACAAATTCCACCAGCGAAAGATTCCGATAAACATTCAATTCATGGGCATTGCCTGTCCAAAGAAACCAACAATAAGATATTTGATAGGCGAATACCCAATGCTATATCCTAACCGAACTTTTGCTTGTGCTCCAGAAAGTCGAGGTAGAGAAACAGTGTGAGCTCGTGTATAATCGGATAGGCGGATGCTATCTGCTGGCGTATCAGCTGGCGGCGCTCCAACGGCTGCGACTTCACCCGGGAGCTGTCGGTGCCAAACTGCCGATAGATGAGATCTTAGGTTGGATGCATCCGCAAATTTGGATGCATCGTAGGACCTACCTCAATGGGAAAGCTGTCAGAAACCGCCATAAACTTATCCAAATCAACAGCATCGGGCTTTGTGCGTGGTTTATCCAGTTTCTTGCAAATGGCCAACTGTTGCCTGGCAAAGTCGCTTGGGTTGGGCAACTGAGCTACCGGATTGGGCCAGAGCTGCGTCATTTTGCTGCGGCTGCTGATGTGAAGCTTGTCGCTTAAATTTTGAAATAACTTGCGCATTACCTCTAAAAAGCGGGCAATATTATTATTAATAGATATTTATATTGCATTTCATCGCAAAGCTTAACACAAACAAACAAATACGCCGCAACTGCTCGGCCAGTGCTGACAAGCGCAAAAGTGTTGATAAGCATGCGAAAGTGTCAGTGTGCTAAACGACGGTCGAGCAGCTGTTGCCAATTGCAGGCCGATTCATATTTCACCAGACCTGTTGGATGGGGGGGGGGGGGGGTGGCAATAAGCAATTGTCATGTGCACGCATTAAGTGCTGTATAACGCCAGCTGGTAGGCGACCTTGCCATACCCTGGCATAAAAAAATACATAGTATTAGTATTAATAAATGTACGCAAAAAATCACAACTATTTGAAGATTTTGAGCGGTTGCAATTTGTAATTATTTAATTTGTATTTATGTATTTATGCTGTTGATTGTGGCTTATTAATATATGAAAAGCTGGTCACACTAGCAGCAAGTGCTGGCATCCCAACCACAAGCTCAAAGTCAATATACTCCACTTAATTTACGGTTTACAGCGTATGCATTGTTTATAAAATGCCGCACGCAAGACAACTTCTTGTTAAATATAATTGTGAAATTGAACGATGGACACGATGTCAACATTTGGAGCCGAAGTGGACGCAATTTGGCCACCGGCCGATGCCAGCTCACAGCCAACGCCGCCGACTCCCTTCGGGCGCCGCCTGTTGGAGCAGTGCACATCCCTGAAGATGCCCGAGCCGGAGGGGACAGTCGATGTGGCTGCATTTATGGCAAAATCAATGCACTTTCCGCTCGAGGTGCGTAGAATATGCATTAATTAAGCGACCTGTTCAGCTAAAATTGGAATTTGCGAACAGTTCGGCGTGGAGAGCTGCCGTGTGCGGAGTCAGCCGAAGGCGCGTCATGGATGCATTGGACAGCAGATCGCCTCCGTTTATCCGCTGCTGCATGAGCGCACCCTGGCGCTGTATCTAGAGTATCTGGAGCACAAGGGGCAGTGGGGTAAGTGAACGTCACAGATTACAGATGTGGCAAAATGTCTAATTGGAAATAATATTGTTGCCAGGCAACGAAGTGGAGCAGCCCGTCTATCGGCATCTCTCGCTGACCAGCTTTGTGCAGCGTCTGCTGAGCAAGCGCTGCGCCAGCTTCTTTGCGCGCAACGACAAGTTCCTGCTGCTGAGCGGCGAGCGCGGCGCCAGCGGCTTTGAGCCGATTGGCACGCGGCAGGAGCAGCCGCCGCTGCTGCTGGAGGATGTGCTCAGCTATGATGAGGTTAAGCTATCGGCGCTGCTCTCGGTCAGCTCGCACACGGAGTTCATCAATGAGGGCGAGCGCGCCAATTGCGGCCGTGTGACCCACAATCGTCATAGCCTGGAGCCGGAGGGCGTGATTGTGGGCCTGATTGGTGCACGCCTGTCGCGCCGCAATCTAATGGAGTTCCAGGACATTGTCATTGCGCGCCAGCAGAACACCAAGGAGCATGGCTACGGTCAGCCGGCGGATGCTCCGGCCGAGACGCGCGCCGAGGACTATCGGCGCCTGTGGCGCAGCTACTACGAGACGCGCGATTATCTGCGCAGCGAGGTGAGCATCGATGGCAAACGCTTTGGCGTCTCGGGCAACAAGCAGGATGTGTTCGATAATCTGGTCATGAAGCGTCGCTATGCCATCATATTTGACATGCTGCTACTGGAGGCGGAGGCGCGCGCCGCCAAAACCGGCAAGTTGGCCTACGTTCATGTCGTCGGCTTTGGCCTGGGCGTCTGGCGGGTGGCGCCGCAGCAGGAGCAAATCTTTCTCGAGACCTTCGAGCAGCGCTTGCGTGCACTCAGCCCACGTCTGACGCACATTGGCGTCGTGCACTTCTCCTGGTTCAAGCTGGAGCGCTGCGGTGGCCTGCACAATGGCGCTGTCATCAACTGCTCGGATCATCCACAGGGCGGCATATGTGTGCACCTGTCGAAACGGAATCCGGCACAGAAGCTCACCAAGCCGGAACATGCCGACATGCTGCTGGTTGTGTCCTATGCCTGGGACGGCAATGCCCTGCCTGGCAATGAGTTCTGGATGGTGAGTATTCCCATCCATTTGATTCCCATTGTGACTTGGCTAACTCTTTGCAGAAAATGCTCAAGTCCACGGGCGACTCATCCACGGCCTGCTCCACGCTGATCGCCGAGCTGCACAACCCACACATCAATACGGACTATTGCAATGGCCAGAATCTACACATTGCCTCGCCCAAATACGGTGTGCTCCACATATCCGAGTATGCAAAGCGTGTGCTTAACAGCTGCAAATAGATGTCGTCCATCTCTTTCAAAATAATCCCCCCATATCTATCTATCCATATTCATATAATACATGTGTAAATAGAATTGTATATATATTGGCGATTCCAACTTGAAGATTAATTAAAGAGAAGGCAATAATCAATGCATGAAAGCCTGCTGGACTTCATTGAATTCATGAGAATCGCATAGAAGGGCAATATGTTTTCGTACGTGTTATTTTATTGGCTCTGCAGCGGATAGTCGGCGTTCAGTAAGGGAAAAACCACATACATACACACATGCATGGATACATAAATAAGCCCATATATAGATACTTGCATACACACATGCATCGATACATGCATACACACACACATACATACAATAGTAAAGTAGAGAGTGCATACATGCATCGACACATACATACACGCATGCATGGATATATAGATAGACACATACATGCATATACACATATATATACACACATATATATATATATATATATGCAGCATTCATACATACACATACATGAACACATATGCATACAAGCATGTAAGCCTGTAGGCTTAACTTGAATTCATGAGAATCGCATAGTAGAGCGATATTTCAAAATACGTTCATTTTGAAACGCAGCGTTATGAACTTTCGCTCGCACAACCTTTGAATTTCACAACCCTTCCAACCAAGATGATTGGAATTTTCTAAAATTAGCTTACACTTAAAACTCCGGCAAAGCAAACTTGGGTGAATTCCGCGAAAAGTGTCTAATGTGAATAATGGAATAATATACACCCCAATATTATAAACGTAAACATTAAACACTGGAATATTATTCACTGGAACATTACACGCTGGCATATTCACTGGAATCTTATACACTGGAATACCCATTTTTATATATGCAAAATACGTTAAAAAGTAGTTCCTTAACATTAATTTTGAATTAAATATTTATTAAATATACACACACCTAAATGAAAGTACTTTTTGTATAAGAGTTTATGCATGTCGAGCTCAAAGTGTGTCTTTGCTAAGCGCTCGGGCTGTGCCCAAGCCAAGCTACAAATGTGGCGGCTGCGTGTCTTTGCTAAGTATTACCAGGACTTTTCTAAGAGTAATTTTTCGTCTCGTTTTTATAGACAAACAATAAATACGGGGTGTGCGTCTCGGCTAAGTGTAGCAGGAGCTGTTCTAAACATCACGCATACTAGTATACGCAAAAACAATTCGCCGGGTTCATGACCCGGCTGCCATAAGGCGAACATAATGTATTAGATCCTAGCAGGCTGTGCCATAACTTTATAGCGTAGCGATAAAAATGCCAAAAAAAAGTTATCGTCAAGGCGCGCAAATTCAACGCGAATTCCTTTGAAAGAAATTGTTAAATTAAAGTCGTTTATTATTTGTTTTATTGCCAAAGCAGTGTAGTCGAGGGCTTAAGTGCTTGATACTAGCTCTTGCCGTTGTCGCCTTGACTCTTTTTGGTCATGAACATATCGAACCAGCGAAAGAACTTCGACGTCGTCGTCGATTCTTTTGGCTCCGATTTTCCCTTTTTCTCCTCCGCCGGCTCGAGCGTCCGATCCACGATGAATGTCAGATTGCCGCGCGGCGTCAGCGAATCGGGTATGGGCAATATAAGATATGGCAGATTCTTGATTTGCGGCGCAAGCACTTGGGTTTTTGAATCCAACTGCGACTGCGTCGTTGATGTAGCGGGCTGCAAACGTGATGTAGCGGGCTGCAAACGTGATGTAGCGGGCTGCAAACGTGATGTAGCGGGCTGTAGACGTGATGTAGCGGGCTGTACACGTGATGTAGCGGGCTGTACACGTGATGTAGCGGGCTGCAAACGTGATGTAGCAGGCTGTACACGTGATGTAGCAGGCTGTAGACGTGATGTAGCGGGCTGTACACGTGATGTAGCAGGCTGTAGACGTGATGTAGCGGGCTGAACTTTTGGTGTAGAAGCCAGAGCTCGTGATGTACTGGCTTGCACTGTTGATGTACCCACCTGGACTCGTGATGCACCAGGCTGCACTTTTGATATACCGGGCAGTTCTCTCGATGTGCCTGCCTGAGCTCTGGATGTACCTCGCTGCGCTCTTGATATACCCGGCTGTACTCGCGCCGTAACCGCCTGCGCCTTGGATGTAAACGCGTCTGATCTTGCTGTCGTCGTTAGACTCTCACTGCAGGCACTCGACTGCGATTGGGAGCCGTGCAATACGACGGTTTTGCTGCGCGTCAGCTGTCTGGGCTCGTGCTGTACGCACGGCGACGCGGATCGGGCGCGGATTGACGTCGGATATAAGCTGGCCTGGCCAATGGCGATGGGCATATTGGCGCGTGCCGCTCGTGCATCGTAGCCATCGGGCGATCGATGATAGTTGGACTCGTAGAAGAGCCTGAACCAGAGCGCGAACGCATAGTTATCCTGGAATCTACCCTTGACCAGCTGCTCAATGTTAATGGGCGTGTTCACGTGAACCTCGTTAAAGCTCTGCTGGAGCACCCGAAAGTTCTCAATGTATTCCGTCGGCTGGTTGCACACAAACTTCACCCTGCGCATTTTCACCAGATCGGCAAACAGTATATCCATCAGATTACAATAGGCAGCGCCCGTGCACAGGTCCTCAATCTTCTCCACATCCGCGTCCAAGGTGTCGTTTATCCACGATATGATCTCGTTGCGTGACCATTGCTTCGAGTTGCGTGTGGCCACCACGTTAATCGCCCTTGGTCTCGGCGGAGCCATATTCTGTCGGGCATATGGCAGCATTATGCAGCTATTTCAGCCCCAAATTCCAGCTGTTGCTTACCTGAGAGTTAGCTCTACTTAGTGTAATCCCTGTATGTAGCCAGAAGATAAGGCTTCGTTCATGGCTATAACCGCTCAACTTGTCGATTTGTGTAGGTCCGAAAAAGATTTTCAAGAACTTTTCTCAAAATTCCTTAACTACTCTATACTATAAACGTATATAAGTTTCTCACCTCGAATGTGGCGCTTATACAATAATATATAAAAAACCAAAAAAAAAAAAAAAAAACAAAAAAAACCAATTTAAAAAATATATTATTACATATACACTACACTATGATACCCTATGATAATATTCAAACTTTGTTCTATTTTAGATCAAATGGGAATTTACTTGCTGAAAGAAAAAAAAACAGAAACAATTCGAATATCGTGAAGAGAATCGATAGATGGCAACAACTTTGCTTTGAGGTTAGTTTTCAATAATTGAACCTAACCTCAATATTAAAGTGAGCCGGGTTGCCGAACAATTCAAATTTAGTGTGGCAGTGTGGCAACCCTTTGGCCCAATATTCACCACCCACTTCAAATCCACAAAATGCCTGTTCGACTGAGTGTCCGTGTCAGTTTCGAATCGTAAAGCAAATAAATTTCACAAAAATATGCCAATGTTTATTTTAACTAAGCAAAACAAGTCAATATGCAATTGTGTACAAATGATACACCCCTTCCCCCCTCCCCCTATCTCTTCCATATAAACAAATGCAATTTAATTATAAATCATTTACAGTTTCACAATCCATCCCCCCGCCCCCTTGGGAACAGCCAAAGAGCACCCCCCCCCCCCTCCATCCCCTGACTTGATTGAACTATTTGTCTAGCTGGCTGCTCTCGAGTTTTATTCGGTTGTTTGCATTTGGCTTTTAGTTGTGTTTGTATTTATAAATTTTAATTGTTTGCATTCATAACAGAAATGCAATTTCCATTTTAGCTTTTCCACACACACATGCACAGCCGGCCATTGAATGTCATGTTTTTATCGCCTCTAGCTTTATGACACAACGCCCGACTAGTTAATACCCTAGTTTTTATTGGCCAAGCGAAGCTTATCTTATTTAACCTCACTTTAAACTCAGCCTTTAAACTTCACCAGCTCACCTCGAAAGAAACTCACCCTGAAGCAAAACTAACCTCACAGCCGCAAAAGTCACCCTTGCACAGATTGATACCGACATCAACTAAACTCAACTCACTTGTCTTTACTACAACTGACCCCAAAACTAACCTTAGCCCGAACTAACCCCAACACAAACTAGTAGCCACCATTTGAAAACTGACCCCAAAACAACCAAACCTTAACCCTTACCCAAACCTAATTCCTAATTCCAATAAAACTGAAACTAATGCAATTAACTGACACCAAATAAAAAAGAGTATTTGGCATTCGTACTTCATTGAATACTCACCAGAATCAATCGAAATACAGCATAGTCTATCTAAGCTAATGCTTGCCGAATATAAAGGAACAGATATTTACAAAAAAAAAATAAAATTTTGCTTTGTGCTGTGTATTAATCTATCTTACTTTGTAGTCTGACCGAATCGAGCTGTCGCTCGCAACAACTAAAAATCTTTGACGAAAATGCCAATGCTTACATGTTGCACAATGTTTTGATATATATATTAGTCTAGCCAGAAGTGTAGCCAAAATTGACAGCCAAGTTAATGTTACATGTATTCCAACTGCCGAATCCCGAATCGAGCACCTTTTTATCTGCATAAGGTTCAATTACCCAAAGTAATTCGATTCAACTTGTATTTTAAACATTATTCATTTGACACGGGCAACGCCGGGTATTAACATCGACTACTCACTTGGTTGGATAATGGCAGGAATTTGACAGAACCGAATTCAATCGAGCAGCGAAAAGAGAATTCATCAAGGGGCACGTCTTTTTTTAATTTTGCTTTCAACGAAAAACTAAGCGATTTTCGAGAGTGTGAAATAAAACATGCCCAACCTTGACCTAATCAATCCAAATATCAAAGCACAATATTTTTACAGCTAGCCAGAAATGCGAAAAACACATGCGAACATTCAGAGCACGGCACCTTATATACCCTATATACCCTACATTTTATAGTCATACGCTAGATATGCTCAACTTGAATATATCTTGATATTGATCTATATCTATATCTATATCTATATCTATATCTATATCTATATCTATATCTATATCTATATCTATATCTATATCTATATCTATATCTATATCTATATCTATATCTATATCTATATCTATATCTATATCTATATCTATATCTATATCTATATCTATATCTATATCTATATCTATATCTATATCTATATCTATATCTATATCTATATCTATATCTATATCTATATCTATATCTATATCTATATCTATATCTATATCTATATCTATATCTATATCTATATCTATATCTATATCTATATCTATATCTATATCTATATCTATATCTTTATCCATATCTATATCTATATCTATATCTATATCTATATCTATATCTATATCTTTATCCATATCTATATCTATATCTATATCTATATCTATATCTATATCTATATCTATATCTATATCTATATCTATATCTATATCTATATCTATATCTATATCTATATCTATATCTATATCTATATCTATATCTATATCTATATCTATATCTATATCTATATCTATATCTATATCTATATCTATATCTATATCTATATCTATATCTATATCTATATCTATATCTATACCTATATCTATATCTATATCTATATCTATATCTATATCTATATCTATATCTATATCTATATCTATATCTATATCTATATCTATATCTATATCTATATCTATATCTATATCTATATCTATATCTATATCTATATCTATATCTATATCTATATCTATATCTATATCTATATCTATATCTATATCTATATCTATATCTATATCTATATCTATATCTATATCTATATCTATATCTATATCTATATCTATATCTATATCTATATCTATATCTATATCTATATCTATATCTATATCTATATCTATATCTATATCTATATCTATATCTATATCTATATCTATATCTATATCTATATCTATATCTATATCTATATCTATATCTATATCTATATCTATATCTATATCTATATCTATATCTATATCTATATCTATATCTATATCTATATCTATATCTATATCTATATCTATATCTATATCTATATCTATATCTATATCTATATCTATATCTATATCTATATCTATATCTATATCTATATCTATATCTATATCTATATCTATATCTATATCTATATCTATATCTATATCTATATCTATATCTATATCTATATCTATATCTATATCTATATCTATATCTATATCTATATCTATATCTATATCTATATCTATATCTATATCTATATCTATATCTATATCTATATCTATATCTATATCTATATCTATATCTATGTCTATATCTATACCTATACCTATACCTATACCTATATCTATATCTATATCTATATCTATATCTATATCTATATCTATATCTATATCTATATCTATATCTATATCTATATCTATATCTATATCTATGTCTATGTCTGATAGGGTATTCAAGTTTCGTCAATCCAGAAAAAAAGTGTGTTTTCATGTTGTGTCTGAAGAATCGTTAAGGAAACGCAAAAACTTCCGTTCGCAATGTAATGTTCGGGCCGTATAAAAAGCAAAAATCACTTATATTCCTAATGGATAAGGTTAAGGAAATGTGCAATGTGTTTAATATCAGAGTTTAAGCCAAAGATGAGATTTTTACAGACAAATAATGGATATAATGAACCACAACTAACAGGTTGGGTTAGGTTAGGTTGAAGAAATTTGGGTAATAATAGCAATTATATGGTGATTAAGACAAGGAAAGGGAGCATGAGGAGAATACTAATGCTGTTTATAATAAAAAACATCTACTATAAACATGATAAAAGGCTATTAGCCACATAGACTGAATTGCCTTAAAATAAATTCATGAAAAACCCAAAGAAAGCCTATTTTAGAAGTTTATAATCAATAATATATATGTAAATATATCGGCCATAAAGCACGATTGACGCATTACGCAATAAATTCTTGATTTATCTATAGTTGATGTCTTTTATGTAGATCTTAAAGTTCTTAGCTCCGTTTGATGCATTCGCAAAGTTATGCATGAATCGGCGCTCGATTCCAGGCCAAAGAGCAAATGTACCTTAAATGTTCAATTCCAGTGTGCTGCTCAGTGTATGGGAAATTTGCGCTCTGCGCTCGTTCAAATTGCCAACAGAAATTTCCCTTAAGCAAGGAGCCGGCTATAAAAGCGCGTCGACAGCGCAGCGGCGGCCCACAAAGCGACGGCGAACGCGACGCGGCAGTTGCCAAAGCCAAGCCACAAGCAAAAAGCAAAACGAAAGCAAAAACAAATACGAAAACGTAAACGAAAAGTCCGCGTAAAACGTGAAAGCCGTTAGCAATAACGTAACGGTTCAAACAGCGTACGCAACAAGACACTTAAGGCCGCATATGCAAATTGTGCCTGTGTGCGTGTGCGTGTGCGTGTGTGTGTTTGTTTGTTTGTAATTTTTTGTAATTTTTGTTCTTGTGTGTTTGAAATTGCCACAATAAAAGTACTAAATTATGTGGCACATGTGAACATGCCACATTGAGCGGACACCTGAGCAGCGGACAGCGAGCAGCACGGTTCGTACAGCGGCGCGTGCTTCCTGTGCCACCTGACGAGCATAGCACCTACCCCTACCCCTACCCCTCTTCCCTACCCCTACCCCTCCCGAAACCAGTGCCCCACTGCCCTACACTTAGCGAAAGTTTGTTGTTTTAATTCTGAAACATTTTCAAGCACATTCCAAATTTCTTAATTTTAATTTAACTATTTTAAATATTTAATCGGCAAGAACTTCGTTTAAGCCCGACTACGCAATACCCTGCACCAAATTTAAGTAGCGTATTTCAACAGTCTGGCAAATAATAATTGATCTCGTGACTCTCAAACTGTCGCCACAGAGCATTTGCCTTCAAACTGGCGTGGGCGTGGCCGCAATATATTTTGTGGCTCGATAAAATATTGATAAAAACTTGAATTCAGCACAAAATAAGAGTTAAAAAGAGTCAGATAACATTTTCAGTAAATAAATGCAATTAACGTTCGGAATAAATATGAAATTCCTGTACTTGAGATTTTCCGTTTATTGAGACAAGAAATCTTTAAATAAGATTTTTGTGCTCACTTTAAGCAATATTTTTTTACATATTTTACGCGGATGAATGCATATCAAATATCAATTTCATGCATGGGTTATACAAAAAAGAAAATAAATTAAAAAAAAAAACATCTTAAATTAAGTACAAAAATAAACTTTAAAAAAGTTAGAAAACCTTTTCAGTATAAATGTATATGCAAATTGCGTGCTCATAAAATGTGCAATTTGTGTGCTTTATTTGTGTCTTGTACTTGAAATTGAAAAAAAAAAAAAAACGCTTTAATTGAGTAGAAAGCAACTTCAAATAAGGCAGAAAATATTTTCAGTAAAAGCATAAAATTTGTGTCTTGCCTGTTTTCCGGTTATAGGAGAAGAAATCTTAAAGTAAGATTATCGCGCTTACTTTAAGAAATATTTAAATTTAAATTTGATTTATATATTATACAATTCAAATTTAAGTTTAAAAAAAAAATTAAATGAAGTACGAAATAACTTAAAATAAGCCAGAGAAATTAACATTCGCAACAAATGTGCGATGCGAAAATTTCTATTCGGGACTTGTACTTGCGCTTTAGCGCTTATATGAAAAGAAATCTGCTTCAAATAAGATTTTTCGCGCTCACTTTAATTTACTTTTATTTTTTGTTGAGTGTCTGTCATTGTCCGCTTTATTCAGGCGGGTTTCTTTTTTTTTTTTGTCCATATTGTGGGCGGGCGCCATTCGAGCCATGTTTTGTGTGCTGGCCATTTAATTGTGTGTGTCCGTGTCCGTGTGTGTGTGTGTCCGTGTGTGTGTGTCCGTGTGTGTGTGTTTCCAATAGGAAGTGTGTTTGGATGAGTTTTCTTACATTGTTTGGATTTCCATTTCGATTGAATGCCCTTCCTCTCCCCCCGTTCCCTTCCGTTCCTTTCCGTTCCTTTCCGTTCCTTTCCGTTCCATTCCATTCCATTCCGTTCGTTGCGTTTCGCTACATTTCGATTGAATTGAATTCGTTTTGCTGGTAATGAAGCTAGTTGCTGCCAACTGGCATTGGCCATGGCCAGGACGCGGCACACACACACACACACACACACACACACACACACACACACGCACAATACAAGTTAACATATTTTTATGGCCCCGTCGTCGCCAAAGTGTCCTCCAGTTTCAGCATCAACTTCAGCTTGAAGTGCCTATTGCCACGGGCGTCGAGTGTGGAGGGGGTCCTTGCTTGGATTGCCCGCTTGATTGGCCACTCAACTCGCTGCGGAGGGGGCTTTGATCGCATTTAAGTTGCAAAGCTATCAGCAAACAAAAAATAAAAAAAATAACAAGTAAGAGGTTCTCGCTCCCGACTAGGGGATACCCTGAAAGATCCTTGATATATATATACTATACTAGAAGCTACATGTCAAGTTTTGCTGACTCTAGCTCATATTATCAGCATTTCGATATCGATTTTTATCGATTACTTGGAAACGGGGCAAGTTATCGAATATCGGAAACAAACTCAAACTGCGCGGGCACTAGAAGGATCTACAGCTAAAATTTCAAGTCTCTAGCTCTTATAGGCTCTGAGATCCTTGCGCTCATACATACGGACAGACAGACGGACATGGATCGACTTGGCTATTGATGCTGATCAAGAATATATATACTTTATGGGTTCGGAGAGGCTTCCTTCTGCCTGTTACATACATTTGCACAAATACATTATACCCCTTTTTACCCATTTTCAAGTCAATCTAAAAAGCGCAATGCAAGTTGAAAAGTTTGAATTGCTCGGTTGGTTGAGAGAAATGCGAACTCTGCGCTTGCAGCATATTCAAATTTGAAAGTCAAGCACAATCTGTGATTGCCAAGAAATGTGTATTTGATATGCCATATTTTTTAATGTAATTGTTTCCATATCAACCAGGACAATGGGCTGCATTCGGCAAGAGTCGACAACAAAGGAAAGTTAATTAAATATATAAATATTCGAGCTTGAAATATTAGCTGTAGATCCTCCTAGTGCCCGCGCAGATCGAGTTTGTTTCCGATATTCGATAACTTGCCCCGTTTCCAAGTAATCGATAAATATCGATATCGAAATGCTGTTTTTTGAGCAATTTCGTCAAATAATATGAGCTAGAGTTAGCAAACTTGACATGTAGCTTCTGGAATAGTATATATATATCAAGGATCTTTCGTTTTTCATTGGAAGAAGATGGTTCAGGGTATCCCCTAGTCGGGAGCTCCCGCCTAGAACCTCTTAATTGTTTTATTTCATTTATTATGTTTTTCGTAAGTGTTGTCCCATTCGAAAGCTATTGCAATAGTTTATTTGACTTTAAAATAAAATCAACAGTAACTAAAGGTTAACAATGGAATATGCCATTGTCCAAAATCAAAAACTACAACAACTCTTTTATCCATTCCTTGTATCCCATAGATCCCATACCTATACATCCCATATTTTGCAATATTTTCATTTGGTCAGACTTGGCCTCAACATTCCGTTAGTGCATCAACTAGACAGAGCATTTTATATGGTGCTTAAGGCACGCTTATCCATGTTCCTGCCAAAGTTCATATTAGCTGACAAGAGCTTAGGCAGCAACGCTCCAGCGCCAACATCTGAATGACAAGTGGACAGGACGTGAGAAAATGTTATTGCATACATAAATTGCCAGCTGGCAGCACAACAAATGCTAAGCTCTGGTCAAATAATTAACAAGTAGTTATTGCTTGGCTTAACTGAAAATGTACATTACAGAGAACAGAAGTTCTCTTTGACAAGACCATAAAGTAGTTGTCAACTTTAACAGCAGTGTGCAAGTTCAGAGCACAACGAGTGCTTAGCTCCAGTCAAATATTTAACAAGTAGTTAGTTTGTAACTAACTCAAACAGTTGGCTAAACTGAAAATTAAATTAAAAAGAACACAACTTCTGTTTAACAACAGGACAAAGTAGCTGTCAACTTTGACAGCAGTGTGCGAGTTAGCAGAATAACAAACGCAAAGCTCTAGTCAAATTATTAACAAGTAGTTATTGCCTAGCCAAACTGTAAGAAACAACTATTTGACAACAGGACAAAGTAGCTGTCAACTTTGACAGCAGTGTGCGAGTTAGCAGAATAACAAATGCAAAGCTGAAGTTAATCTATTAACAAATAGTTATTGCCTAGCCTAAGTGTAAGAAACAACTATTTGACAACAGGACAAAGTAGCTGTCAACTTTGACAGCAGTGTGCGAGTTAGCAGAATAACAAATGCAAAGCTCTAGTCAAATTATTAACAAGTAGTTATTGCCTAGCCAAACTGTAAGAAACAACTATTTGACAACAGGACAAAGTAGCTGTCAACTTTGACAGCAGTGTGCGAGTTAGCAGAATAACAAATGCAAAGCTGAAGTTAAATTATTAACAAGTAGTTATTGCCTAGCCTAAGTGTAAGTGAAATGAAAAGAAAGGGAAACAGAATAAAGTAGCTGTCAACTTTGACAACAGGATAAAGTAGGATAAGAAATATTAAACAAGTAGCTATTATTATTAAGTTAGACATGTGGCTTAACTGAAACAGAATAAAACCTTTATTTGACAACACAATAAAGCAGTTGTCAACTGTGAGCGCAGTGTGGGTAAGCGAGCCTTAATCGCCGCAGGCATCATTAGACGTTTGCCAACACTCAACGCGGTAAATCGCAGAGGCCAAGCGAACTGAACCGAATGATTCATGAAAGCAATTAGCAGCCCGCGCCCAAAAATCGCTCCCATTTCTCTTGCAGACAGCTGAAACCGCAGCAGCAGCAGCAGCAGCAGCTGTGGCAGTGGGAGTTGCAGTTAAAGGAGGCGCGCGCCTCCAAATGCTCATTGAAATTTACGATTATGCTGCGAAATTATTAAACAATATGACCGCAACAACAGCAACGATCATTAATAATCTGGCCAGCGGGCGGGCAGCTCCAACTCCAGCTCCAGCTCCAGCTCCAGCTTCAACTGCGGCGGATAGTCCAAATACCAGGACGACCACAAATCTAACGTCCAAATGGCTGCAGGCAACGACGGGCAACATGAAGGCGCTGCTAAACCGCACGCTGGCCACAATGGGCGGGCAGCACAGCGCCAGATTGACCACCCTTCTGCTCCATGGCGGCCTTGGCGCCGATTTGACAGCCGGACAGCGCATTAGGCATTCGCCCAACAATGCCAATGCCAATGGCAATGGCAATGCCAATGCCAATGCCAGCATCATTGGCATTAACGGCAGCGAAACGGATATGTACAATACATTTGGCGAGACGCCCGGCTTCATTGAGTCGTCAACAACGGCGGCCAGCACGGTGCTGAGCAGCGCCATCAGCAATCTGCCGGAGGCAACGGGGCCGGCCGTCACCTTTCCAGCCCAGACGATGGCCACCTTCATTGCGGCCGGCAACAAGAATCGGGCCGCAACCATTTATATTTATCCAACGGGTGAGTTAATGGATTTTCACTAAGTCCAAATCAAAATTCAGTTACACAATGCACTTTGCTTCTGGATACCCTGTTATCCAACTAAAGCCATCGGGTATTATGGTTATGTGCAAAGGTATGCAACAGCCAGACAGCCTCTCTCTCTCTCTCTATCTCTTCATCCTTTATCCCAGAGACACCTAGAGTTCAAGACTTTTAATTCGCATCTCACTTTGCTCCTGATACCCTGTTATCCAATTGTTGCCATCGGGTATGATGTTTTGTGCACACATAAGTAGACATCAGGTAACCGAAGGATAATTCCAAGCGGTCGCAAACTCCACCCAAGCTCTAAACAACATTGCTGTTAAATTGCAGTTAACATAACTGTATAAGAGTCACATAACAGAGCAACTGAACTGTTAAAGCTAACATAAGCTGTATGTAAACGCGTAGAGTAGAATATATGGGGAATGTATAGGTAATATGGAATGTGGAATATGGAATATAGAATGTATAGCTAGATGGAAAACTCTACCTAAACACTGAAACATACTAACTATTTAAAGAGTTTTTAACAGAGCTGTTATATTAGACTTAACATAAGCAGAGTGAGAGCTACATAACCGCAGCGCAGGCGAGTGAACTGTAAAGGATCACATAAGCGACATTCAAATAACTAAAGCGGAATATACTCAGAATGTGCCGAGCGCAATCGTCACTTAAACACTTGAGGCGTATTAATTCATCACAGCACTTAACAGAGCTATTAAATTGCACATAACATAAGCAGAGTAGAAGCCACAAAGGCCACCGTTAAAGCTAACATAAACGAATTTATTGTCAATGTATTGTCATATTAATTCATCACATTTAATTGACCGATGGTTTATTTGTCAGGCACTTGGCCAATAACTTTCGGCTGTCAGTTAATCATTGTTGTGAGCCAAGCCAACGACCGATGATTGTTGGCCAATAATGTGGCCAACTAATGCGGATTGGGCTTGATTAGCACGCTCGTCACATCACTGTCTGTGGGCGAATAGGTAAAACGCTCCGCCTGTCAATAATCAAATCAGCTCAGTCAGTTAGACAGACGGACGGACGGACGGACGGAGAGACGGCGACGGGGTCGCGTGCCAGGCCCAATTAGAGGCTAATTTGCATTATGCCATCCGTTCGCTCATTATCCTCGAATAGCTTCGATAGTTAACACCCCCCCCGTTGCTCGCTCATGGGTGTTGTCCTCTTTTTAATAAATACCCTATATAAGGCCATTTAAGGCCTGAAAAGGGATGGGATATGGTGCAGCATTAGTATGTTGCCCAATTAGATTGAGATCCTTTACTTTGTTTATCCAATCAGCTTGTGTATCCATTGCAGCCTGTCTATATCTGAGAGACTATGTTACCCTATGGGGCTTATAAGTTCTGCATTATGTTGGATTTTAACATATTTCGCCCCGAAGTTTCCTCAATCGAGAGCACACGGCTTACAGACTGACTTTCGAAAGTTTGTTAAGTTTTCAAGCAGTCTTTGGTTCTAAAAATTGGAGAATAGTTCAGTCATATACAAAGATAAAATACATCGATATCGCATTTTGAACTTCCTGCGGGAGAATTTCGCGATATGCTAAAGCTAAATACATCGATATCACATATTTAACTTCCCAGGCGAGATATTGACGATATAGAAAAAGTTACTTCGTATCGCTTTTTTAACTTTCCAGGCGAGAAATTTGCGACACAGAAAAAGTTTATCGTATCGCTTTTTTAACTTGCCACGCGAGAACTTGGCGAAATAGCAAAAGATTATTTGTATCGTTTTTTTAACTTCCTAGGCGAGAAATTGGCGATATAGATAAAGTACATTCGTACTTCTTAACTTCCTACGCGATAACTAAGCGATATACCAAAAAATAAAATGAATCAATATCGCATTTTGAACTTCCCAGGCGAGAACTTGGCGTCAAGGAAAAGAGAAAGCCAAACAATAAAATACCCTGGAAAATGAAGTTGAAAGATAAGAAAGCGATAGAAAGTCGAATAGAATAGAATAGAACATTTAATGCCAGCTAGCTTAGAAGTTATTTAATTGGAGGGCCTTTTTTATAAAGCTGCAAATCTGTTACAGGGTAGCTGTCAGTCAGGCATGCCCATTAAAAAGCTGCCCACTTATCTGTGCACTTATTGAAGCACTGAGAGAGAGAGAGAGAGAGAGAGAGAGAGAGAGAGCCTGCGACCTTACGACCCTTGGGCCTAATGCAGCCATTAGGCAAGTTGGAGTCGCATTAATTGCAGAGATTGTTCGACTATTAACGCGATTTGAAACGTTGATTGTTTTAAGCAGCATCTCTTAACTTGGCTCTGGGGGCCAAACAAAAACTTTCGCTTTCTCTCCCTCCACACAAATTGCGCGAGCTGTCAAAGCCGTCGTCTGCCTGGCTGCCTGGCTGCTGACTCAGTTGGTTCTCATTATGGGGACACATCCGAGAGTCGTCGCAGTCGACGTTAATATCCCATATCCTAATCATGCGGCTTATCTTCCCACATCAGCATCGAGCAGCGAGCAGCCAGAAGCGAGAAGCGACGAGCTATGTCAGCACTTTCGCAGCCCTGCGGCCTCTCACTGGCTACACTCAAACAAATTTTTGGCCTAGAACAATTGACATAATATAAGACAAGTAAGAGGTTCTAGTCGGGAGCTCCCTGAACAAGAAAGAGGTTCTAGTCGGGAGCTCCCGACTAGGGGATACCCTGAACCCTCTTCTTCCAATGAAAAATAAAAGATACTTGATATATATATACTATTCTAAAAGCTACATGTCAAGTTTTGGTGACTCGAGCTCTTATAACTTACGAGATTTGCTCAAAATACAGCATTTCGATATCGATTTTTATCGATTACTTCGAAACGCGGCAAGTTATCGAATATCGGAAACAAACTCGATCCGCGCGGGTACTAGGAGGACCTACAGCTAAAATTTCAAGTCTCTAGCTCTTATAGGTTCTGAGACCCTTGCGTTCATACCTACGGACAGACGGACGGACATGGACTCGGCTATTGATGCTGATCAAGAATATATATACTTTATGGGGACGGAGATGGATCCTTCTGCCTGTTACATACATTTGCACAAATACATTATACCCTTTTCACCCATTTTCAATGGGTTCAGCGTATAAAAACATATAAAGAATCTGAAATTTAACAATTATTGCTCGTTTCCAAATGAAGCTTTTTCAAATACAAATCTTGTTGCGGGTTCAACAAAAAGTCAACAATTTTTTTTTGCGTGTATTCGAATTGTGTGCGTGCGTGGGCGGTGGGCATGTCTGCCACACAGCTAACGAGGAAAGAGGGAGGGGCGAGGGGGGGGGGCAGCTCGTCAAAGCCAGCAAACTTGTCCATTTCCACAGCAACAACAACAGTAGAAGGACGAGCAGAAGAACAAAAATCGAACAAAAGTGCGTAAAATTCATTGAATAAAATTGTTTAGCCTCGGCCGAGCGCTTGTGGCATATGTGGCACAAGCTATCTACTGCAAATATTTCGCCTGCAGCTGCAGCATAGTTTTCACAGCTTGCTGCAACTATTTGTTGCCAAGTTGGCGCGCAGAAAACGGTCTCGTCTTAGTTCCTCGCATTCCACAATCCACAGCGACAAAATGCTCACCAAATAGTTTTTTGCGCAAATTCTCAAATTCTTCAGGGGAAACATAATTAAGACTAGAAGAAGACTAGAAGACCATTGGAAATGTGTAAAACGGGTATAATGGAGTTGTGCACGTGTATGTAACAGGCAGTAGAAAACATCTCCGACCCCATAAACTATATATATTCTTGATCAGCATCAATAGTCGAGTCGATCTAGCCATGTAATTATATTAAATTATATCAATATCTTTAAGAACTAAAAAGAAAGACCTATAACAAAAAATCATGTGTACTCTTTTTGCTTTTGAGATTTCGACAAAAACTTTAAACAATTTTAAATAGAAGAACTTTCATTTCAAGACATCTGAAACTCTCGACTTCCTCCTCTCCATCTCTCTCTTATCAAATTTAGGCTGAACTTCTGCTAAATCTTATTAAAATATCACATTTATGAATATATTTTCATATTACTAGCCCAACAGCTGCTTTTGTAACTTCAATATAACGCATAGATTCCTATCCAATTGCTTTGGATTATGTACTCAAATGCTGCCCGAAAAATCTTTTTGTTTAATAAGTAAACTTTTCGGGCACGTTTTTGGGATTAAAAAGTTTTGTGCGCAAATTTCAACAAGCTGCATTCAATTATTGTAAAGCAGAACAAAGCGTTTATGATAAATCAAAGGAAAGTTCTCTTCTCTCTGCAAGTGTTGCAAAGTTTCAGCTGCAAGTGTTGATAAACGCTTCGGCAAATATGTAAATTAGTTGCAGCTGCTGTTCACAGATGTTCAACATAGTGTAAGCTTCTTTATGGTATCAATCACAATATATACTACATATATCAAACGGAAATTCCCTTCAATGAGAAAGTGCTGCAAAGTTTCAGTTGCAAGTGTTGATAAGCGCCTTGGCAACCATGTAAATTAGTCGCAGCCGCTGTTCACATATGTTAAACATTATGTAAACTACATACATCAATCAAAATCTAATCTTCTTCGAGAACTGTAAAGAGAGTGTTTGGCTCGTGAGCGTGTGACAACACTCATCCCTAATAGTTAAACCCTTAACACTTTGACAGTTGATTGACTTTACTTTAAGCACTTACCAACACTCGCAGCTAAGTAGCTTGCACTTTCGCCTGCCTCGGCAGTTGCTCTCTTGAGCTGTCGTCGTGTCACTGACTCCGTCTCTGTCGCGCTTAACCTTGCCAAGTACAGTCTGTCCTCGGCATGAAAGCACGACTAAGTAGTTCCACTTGCAGCCAAATTTCTGGGTCGCTTGGGGCGCAACTTTAAGCGCCAACTACTTTAACAGCTTTGCCAAACAGCGCCCCACACTTGAGCTCTGCCCAACTTTAACCCAGTGATGCCACGCCCATGGCAAAAAGTAATAGGCCGCCCATCTCAATCGTTTGCCGATTTACTGTGCTGAGTCATAGAGATGAGCCCGTGAGCCGTTAAGAGCACAAATTTAGTTTATGTACATAAAATATATATTTTTTTAGATAAACATTGCAATATAAACACTTGCATCATTAATTTGTATGTACGTTATTTAAAAAAAATTATCAAAGAAGTTGTCAACAAACTTTTACTTTCCTTTTGTTGAAAACAATTCTTTAAGCTTTCGAATGATATTCAAAGAAAACGTGTTGTGTTTTGTTTGTGACTGCAATACCTTTAACAACACTGGCGCAATGCACTTAGCAACACAAATGTAATACCTTTACCAACACTGACAATTGCCTTTATATCGTGACACGAGACGCGCTCATCTCTATGCCCAAAACCAGCTCAAGAAGTCACTTTGCGATTAATACGCACGACCGCAATGCACTTAGCAACACAAATGTAATACCTTTACCAACACTGACAATTGCCTTTATATCGTGACACGACACGCGCTCATCTCTATGCCCAAAACCAGCTCAGGAAGTCACTTTGCGATTAATACGCACGACCGCAATGCACTTAGCAACACAAATGTAATACCTTTACCAACACTGACAATTGCCTTTATATCGTGACACGAGACGCGCTCATCTCTATGCCCAAAACCAGCTCAGGAAGTCACTTTGCGATTAATACGCACGACCGCAATGCACTTAGCAACACAAATGTAATACCTTTACCAACACTGACAATTGCCTTTATATCGTGACACGAGACGCGCTCATCTCTATGCCCAAAACCAGCTCAGGAAGTCACTTTGCGATTAATACGCACGACCGCAATGCACTTAGCAACACAAATGTAATACCTTTACCAACACTGACAATTGCCTTTATATCGTGACACGACACGCGCTCATCTCTATGCCCAAAACCAGCTCAGGAAGTCACTTTGCGATTAATACGACAAATATTTCTCTGACTGTTCGCCTATTTTGCTGTTTCTCCTTTCTTGTTTTTTTTTTTTTCGTTTATTTTTGCCCATCTTCAGCGGCTGACAATCGTTTTGTTGTTGTTGTTGTTGTTGTTGTCGAGGCTTTTGTAGCGCATTCCACGGTCGACTTGAAATATGCAAACATTTCGATTTCGATTGAATGGCGGGGCGGCCCAGTTTGGCTCGCATCATTTTTATTGTATTTATTGAATATTTCAAGCATCAAACGCTGCCGCCTGATGACTCAGCATCAAATTACAGACGCTCTGCCAGCCGGCGGAGGGAAGGGGCGGGACGGAGGGGTGGGTGGAGGGGGGGGGAGGGATTGCTAGTGGGTGGCTGGCTCCAAGGAGTCCCAACAACAAGGAATTCTTGTCAAAGGACAGCTGTCGAGCTGCCGAGCTGCTGCTACCCCATTTTGCTATGCCCCTAACTACCCCTAACTACCCCTAACTCCCGCTGACTCCCTCTGACTCCGCCCCCACCCCCCCCCCCTTCCCCAACCCATCGACAAGAGCCATCAATTTGTGTAAATTTGAACTGTCACTTTGAAGGCGTTAATTGGATTCAATAATGTCAACCAGAGCGCGCGCGCGGCATCAACAGTTGGAGCCAGTGCAGCAGCAGCAGCAGCAGCGACCAAATCCGCACCCCGCATTGCCACATAGACCCCGCCCACTGCCCTAACCAGCCCCTCTCGATCATGCTTTGTATGCTTGCCAAGTTCTATTTAGGACATACGACAACAACATTATTCTGTGGATTTCTGTGGCTTAGATTAAGGGCATTGGGTGCCCTTGACGCCTTGGCATGATTTTTTTTTTTAGCTAGAATTGTGGGCGTGCCAGCATGCCTGAAAACATGCACTGAGCGAAACGGGGGGCGCTAGAAATACGTTTTTGCCATTGTAGAGATAACCACGAATTCAATTTCTAACTTAATATACATTAACGATAAGTTGTACTGCTCGCACTTAAATCTGGAGCTCATAGATCTGAAGAACAAAAACTGATTCACGAACCGAACCAGTCATTGATTGGAACCATGAACCGAACCACAGTTAACATTTATTGGCCCTGCAGCCAAGCTTTAAATATAGCTCTGATCGTTCACATACTGGATCTGGCCAATTGAATATTTCTGGCAGAGTTAATAGTTTACAGCTTATCTAATAGAATTATGCAACACTGTTCGGAACTGAACCAGTTCAAGACTGAAACTAAAAGTCACTTTAACTACAAACGGAACCTTAACTGAAAGTTACCCAAAAAAACAGCTGAATCCAAAGCCAAAGCGACGCATAGATTTATTTCAAATATATTTTGTTTCGAAATAAAAAACTTTTGAGCACAAATATCTTGGACCCCAATTATTGGATTTAAATCTAAAACATATTTGTTAGATGCCAATTTTCGGAGGAAGCTCAAAAACAGGCAAAAAAATATAGATAAAATACATAAAAAAAAAAAATAAAAAATAAAATAAATATAAGAAATAAAATAAAAGAAAAATTAAATAAATATAAGAAGTAAAATAAATAATGTAAATAAAAAAAAAAACAAAAAAATTAATTAAATCAATAAAATAAAATAAACAAAATATATAAAGTACATAATAAATAAAAATTAGTTAAAAGAATTTGTTAAACAAATAAAATAAATAAATAATAAATGAAATACCTTGAAAAAAATCAAAATAATACATGAAATTATTGAGAAACTTCATTTTAAAAGGGTTTGAACCAAAAGCTGGGTTCAAGGCAGCATTAAAAGTGGTTCACGAACTGAATCTCAAGGCAAAAAGCTGGTTCGATTCGTAAACGGAACCAGTTAACCTTTTTTCATTGCGACTGTGCAGCCCTGGCTCCAATAGGAAACCACAATTCACTGCGGACTTTCGCTCAGTGTACTCTGAAAGTCGACTGGCTGCGAAATACACACATACATACACAAATACATATAGACAATGGCTAAAAGATATATTGCTTTTTATGGCTTATCGGCAAAGGGCCTTAATAAAAATGTTTGCCTGAGCGGATCGCAACAAATTGTTGGCCTTTGTTTCGGGCTTGTTTTTCGCTCTTTTACCTTATTTTTTTTTTTCTTTTCACTTTTGGCAAGATAAAGCAAAGACAAATTGAAACAAGAATCGCGATAGCATCGACAACGGTGCAAAACACTGAACCACCAAAAACCACCAAAAAGATAAAAATTAGTTGAAAGCGGCCTGCGGATGGAAATTAAATTAAATGGAAAAAATAAAAAAAAAGACGTAAATAAAAGGACACAAAAAGAAATGCAAACGCTTGGTATTTGGTCAAAAGGCTTTTGGCCCAGATAGCTGCCTACCCCCCTGGGTAAATAAGTGTTGCCTACATTCCGGGGCAATGTCTGGCCAAATGGCCCGGCCCGGCCCCAGATGAGCCGCAAATTATGAGCGAAACATACAAAAACGGGCCGATCAATTTTGTTGCCTACTTTAGAGCGTTTCTGTGTGTGTGTGTGTGCGTGTGTGTGCGTGTGATAGCACATGAATTCATAATTTGCAGTTTATATTTGAGCCAGTCCAAAAAGCGCAAATCGCTGGCATTTCACCATCGAGCGCAGCAATTAGGCAGCCAAATTAACATATGAAGTCTACTTTTAGGCGCGCGCACAGCTCGTTACAAACTATTGTATATCCGATTCTTATGTGTACAAAGGAAGGGCGTGTAAGAGACAAGGACAAACTTTTCAAAATCGAATGAGATTTGACCGAGTTATGGAGGTGGGAAATTTGTACTTATATCTATATAGGATATTTGAGGGAACCAATTATACATGAATTTTGACCAAGAAAAATGTTGCCAGCTTTAGATGCCCAATTGATCTAGAAGACAAACCATTGAGAAAAACCAAACCTCGTAATTTACCGCCCACGGAAATTATGTAGAAAAGATTTATGTGCACATTTTATGATTACAGGGTATACAAATAGTACATATCTGGCATTATCTACACTATCTACGAATTGATTCTTATAGCTCTTATCAAACGATTCTCTTTACATTTAATGATTACAGGGTATACAAATACACAGTACATATCTGAATTGATTCTTATAGCTCTTAGCAAGCGATTCTCTTTACAATTAATGATTACAGGGTATACAAAGACACAGTACATATCTGGCATTATCTACATATTCAACCGAATTGATTCTTATAGCTCTTATCAAACGATTCTCTCTACATTTAATGATTACAGGGTATACAAATACACAGTACATATCTGAATTGATTCTTATAGCTCTTAGCAAGCGATTCTCTTTACATTTAATGATTACAGGGTATACAAATAGTACATATCTGGCATTATCTACATATTCAACCGAATTGATTCTTATAGCTCTTATCAACCGATTCTGTGCACATTTTATGATTACAGGGTATACATAACTAATGCATATCTATCGTTTTGTACTTACAGTTTCACCCGAATCGATTGTCATTCCGATCGTTTCGTGCATCTTCGGATTTCCCATACTGGCGCTGATTGTCATCTGCTGCCTGAGGCGGCGCGCCAAGCTGGCGAGGGAGCGGGACAGGCGACGCAACTATGATATGCAGGACCATGCTGTCAGCCTGGTCAGATTTAGTCCAATTCATAGGCTTAGTGAGTTTGAATGTTGTAATGTGTGTACGAAGTTTTCCATTTATCTCTCACTCTTCACTTTCTCTCACTATATATATCTATATACATATATCTTTATACTATATGCGACACGCATTTATATTGATTCACGTTCACAGTATTCGATCACGATGTTTTCCATATAGCATGGAATTTTGTTATTTTACATAAATTTACCTTTCCCCCTCTCTCTCTCTCTCTCTCTCTCTCTCTCTCTCTCTCTCTCCATCGCACACAGTTTCTTTGCTCATGTCTGGTTCTTGATCTCAATGTGTGTCTGTCATATCGTAGCCCTTTTTGTTTTGCCACCATTTTTGCACTTTGACCCCAACAAAGCCCCCCAGCCCCGTTCGCCCCGCCCCTCGCAATTGTGAACAAAATTTCCATTTTCCTGCTTTGTTTTTCTTGCATAAATTGCATTTCGAATTGTCAAACAAAAATGCGGGCTAGCCTCACACACACACACACACACACGCACACCTGTCAGCCCATTCCTCCTCTCTTTTTGGCGCTTTGCAAAGAGAAAAACTGAAAATCAAGCATATTTATTATCAATATTTATGAAGAAAATAACTTTACTTTTCAAGTCAGCGACAAAAATACCAGAGTAAACAAAAAATTTGCCAAAAAATACGAGAGTTCATTTAAGAAGCCAGAAATAAATTTAAGTACAGGATTAATAGAAACCAAGAATAAAAAAACATAAATAATGGGAATGGAAGATGTAGAAAACTTATTTATCAAGAGCTTTACCAGGTGAATTCAAAAAGGTGCTTCGCCAGCAGCTTTACAAGTTCAATTTAACTATGGAAATGGAAAATTTAGAGTATAGAGAAAACGAAATCTAGAACAAGGATTTACCATGAGCTTTATCAGTCAAATCTAAACATGGACATGGCAAATTTACAATGATTTACAATGATTACCAGGCAAAAGGATTTTATCGGAGCCTCACATGTTAAACTAAGATATAAAAAAGGAAAAATACAGAAAGAGGATTTACCAGGAGCTTTACCAGTCAAATTGAATCGTGCAAATAGAAAATGTACAAAGAGAATTTACCACGCAAACTTAGATTTGCGTTTGGAAATTTTCAAAAAGGTTTACTAGGAACTTTACAAGTTAAATTTAGCTATGGAAATGTAAAATGTGGAATGAAGATTTACCAAGAACCTTGCAAATCAAAGTAAGATATAGAAATGACAACATTTATATGAGGATTTACCAGTTAATCTTAGATTTGAATATGGAAAATGTAGAAGAAAGATTTACCAGAGCTTTATAACTAAATATAAATATGGAAATGCGAAATGGAATTGATAAAAATAATTTACCAGGAGCTTTACCAGTCGAATTTATATATATATATAGAAATAAGAAACTTCGAAGAGGATTCACCATGACCATGTTTAGATGTGGAAATGGAAAATTAAGAAAAAAGATCTACCCGGAGATTCACATGTCAAATGTAGCTATGAAAATGGGAAATTGAGAACAAGAATTTACCAGGAGCTTTACCAGCCACATTTAGGCATGCAAATGGAAAATATTCGGTGTTGAAAAACAACAAACTTGACCCACTTACGGGCGCTGACAGTCTATTATACCCGAGCTGCTCCCGAGCAAACAGGATATGAGAACATGGCCAAACAAGATTTGAGAGCCACGTGCGGCTCCAAGTCAGAGTTCAAACTGAGTGCCTGCTGCGACTGTTGCGGCGCTCAATGAAAGCGAGCGTCGGCACATACACACACACACACACACCTGCACACACACACCCGCACACACACACACACACAGACCCGCACACACTCGGAGATATTTATGGTGTTTTGCATGTGTCAAGCACAGGCAGCAGCTGCTGTATGCCAAACGGCCGTACGCCCGGCTGCATTTGCATTTCCATTGCATACCTTTGGGCGCTTGTCCTCGTTTCCATGCGAACAACAACAAAAATGAAAACTCGTCTTTTCACTCGATCCACACCAGCCCCATAACAGCCCCCCCCCCCCCCATCACCCTTGCCACACCCCCATAATCAGAAATCCCAGGCGTCTTCATATGCCCTGTTTACACAAATATCCCCAATAAAGGGTATAAGCTAGTTGTTGTTGTGCTGGCAGCCAGAAGGTGATCGATTTATGTACATAAAATTGTCTGATTGATTGATTGATAGACAAACTAGCTAACTGACTGATCAAATGGTTTGTCTGACTGAGTCGTTTTTGACTAGTTAGTTAGCAAGTGCCGATTGATTGAACTAGTTAGCCGACTGACTGATTGATTTGCTGACTGATTGATTGACTAAGTAACTTGTTGTTTGACTGATTGACTGACTGGTTGAGTGATTGACTAGTTAACCGACTGACTGATTGATTGACTGACTTAAATGGCAGACTGATTTATTGACCGACTGACTGAGTGATTGATTGACTGATTGATTCACATACTGACTGAATGACTTACTGACCTGTCAAGTAAGGGTTAAGTGATTGACTCGCTAACTGATCAACTTATTAACTGACTGACTGACTATTTGATTGATTGACTGAAGTACTGAGTGATTTACTGACCGATTGATTGACTGAAGCGAATGCCTATTGACTTTTTAAACATTTGTATTTGCGATAATCAGAAACATTTTGTGGGTTCATTATCAGGGCAATATGTAATAGAGCCTCACTCTCGGTTAGGAAGTTATAAAGGTGACAGCACTTACGTGCGCCCACAATAGGGCATCTTGAAGTCGAGCTCACTCGTTGAGTGCATCCCAACTTGTTATAACTGTAAATTTCATATTCAGTGTTTGCTTTGCCGCTGGATGCGGGTGCTGCTCCGCTTTGAGAGGTGCACAAACAACGTGATGGTGGTTATGATGATGATAATGATGTTGTTTTTGTTGATGATGATTACGATGTGGGTGACACGATAACGAAACGTTGACAAACCGCAAATTATACTTGTTTTGCCCACCCCCCCCCCCCCCTCCCGGATGCCCCCAACCACACCATGTTTTGATGGTTGCAAATTTTTGGTTTTTGCATAAATTTTGAAAACAATTACGCATCACCGCAAGCACCGCATGAAAACCACAAGAAACTTCTCCGCAAAAGGGCAGCCATCAACACAGTAACAGTCAGACTGTGCACAGTGGTGTGTGTGCGTGTGTTTGTTCTGAGACAATCTGCGTTTGGATAGTTTTGATAAGGTTTTCAATTGCAGTTTGACAAGCACTGATATGCAATTAACAACGGTCGCTACTGTAGTCAACATTTAGGCTGATAATGATAACAGTTAGCTGTACATAAGTGTTTAGGAAATATATGTTGAAGAAATCAGATTTTAAGTAATTTTAAATCTGAGATATTTTGCTGCCGAGCTGCAGTTTTAAATGTACTGATATGTAATTAACATTGGCAGCTGCTGTGATCACTGCTTTCGCTGTTAATTAACATTGTAAGCAGTAGCTTAAACATAATGTCTTAAGGAAGTATTATAAATATAAGAGGAAATCGGCTGTTGGGTAATTTCCAATCTGGGAATTTTATATTGCCTCACTGCAGTTTAAAAGCGGAAGCTGCTGTTGTAAACGCTTAAGCTGTTAAATATAACAGTAAGCTAAAGCGTAAGCATAAAAGTGTTAATATAATAGGGAAATCAGCTTTTGGGTTATTTTAAATTTGGGATTTTTAAGTGCTTAGATGCAATTAACGGCGGCAGCTGCTGTTGTTAACGCTTAAGCCGTAAAATATAACAGTAAGCTGAAGCTTAGTCTTAAGAAAGTATAATAATATAGGAAGAATAATATATTGGGTAATTTTAAATCATGGATTTTTATATTGCACCACTTCAGTTTTAAATGCAATCGAATGCACTTAACAGCGGCAGCAGCTAATGTTAACGCTACAGCTGTTTAACAGTAAGCTGAAGCTTAAGCATAAAAGTGTCAAGGAAGTTTATTAATATAATAGGGAAATTAGCTTTTGGGTAATTTTGAATCTGGGATTTTTATATTGCCCCACTGCAGTTTTAAGCACACTTAGATGCATTTAACAGCTGCAGCTGCTGTTGTCAACACTTAAGCTGTTAATTAAAATAGTAAGGGGGCGGAGCTTAAAAAGTGGATAGCACTTACGTATTGGTTCCACTGTGCGCACGTCCTGTCAGCTGGCAAGCGGGCGCGTGTCCCGTGTGGTGGTGGGCGTTGGGCGGGGTTGGTGGCCTGCACGTTTTGATACTCACATTAAATTTGAGCTCGTTCTCGACGTCGCACGTTTTCAATTTGTCTTTGGTCACACGCACACACACACACGCGCACACACACATTTCCATTTCCTTTCCGCTTGCCGGAGGCGATTTAAGCAACTTGTAGCTAATGTGAATTGCTTTTGTTTATTTATTTCTTTGGCTTTTTTTTTCTCTTTTTGGTAATGTTTTTGCCGCTTTAGATTACCGATCGTCGCGAGCTATCAGTCTACGTCCTGAACGAAGCCTAAGCCAGGGCTTCACCTCGCTGGAGCTGGACACGGTGCTGGAGGAGCGCTGCAGCGACGTGGAACAGACGCAGACCGAAATACTCAATCCCGAATCGCCCATGGACGCCAACTCCTACAAGATGTCCTTCTCCTCGAGCTAACAGTTAGCAGCACAACAGCAGCAGCCGAAGACGACGACGTCGACCTTTTCGACGTTGTCGACAGCGCAGCCGCAGACAGCTGCGCTGGCCATGCAACTGCTGCAGCCGCGCACGCCGTCGACGGCGACGCTGACGCCGCCGCTGCGCAAAGCGGGCAGCCTGCGCGAATCGCACGATGCCGCGGCGCTGGCCAAACGGCGCAGTCGCCTGCAGGAGCTGCGCGCCGCCAGCAGCAGCCCGGCCAGCGAAGCAGCGCTCGCGTTTAGCGTCGGCAAGCGCGGCTCCAAACGGGAGCGTCGCCTTGGCGCCGGCAGCAGCAGTGGCAGCGCCAGTTCAGCAGCTGCAGCCATGCGCAAATCGCAGTCGCTCGACGCAGCCGAGAGCTACTCGCTGGCCAGCATACAGTCGCCCTTGTGGGTGACGCTCACCAATGCGCGCACGATCGAGGAACTGGCGCAGCAGAAGCTCTAAAAGATGAACGACACTCAAGAAGAAATGAAGAAAAACATACACACACACGCACATACATACACATACCCACCAACCGCCGAGGCTAGTGTTGTTGCCGCTGTTAAATGTTAATGTGGAGTTATTAACCCTCACCCTGCACCCCTGGCGCATCTTGAAACGAAATCCAACGGTTTTTCTTACAGCCCAAATCCACCTTGTAAATGTGTAAGCAACAATGTAAACAACAAATATTAAAGTATTAACAATTTACAACATTAGCAAATGCATAAATTTAAACTAATGACCAAAAATTAGTCCACAATAAAACTGAAAGTAAAGCAAAGCATTTTCATTCATAACTGCCCAATTCGCAATGTTAAGCTCAAAATGGCAATGTTATGGCACACAGACAGAATGCAACTGTGCACTGTAAGGCGTATATCCCGTTTGATCCGCAAGCCCCAATGCAATTGCGCTGTGATTGTCAAACAGTATGGCGGGCATTTTGAATTTCTAGCGCCGAAACACAAATGATTAGCATTATACATTTATTTATATTTTTCTTTGTTTTTATTTAAATTATCTTGTATATGTAATAAGAGCTTAAAATACAAATTTAATTTCATTATCAAAATACATTGTTATACAATTTCCTTAGTTGCGTTTTTGTTTCCTTCTTACGTTTTTGTTACAGATCTTTAGTTGCTTGTTTCTCTTATTTCTTATTTATGTTTTCAGTTTAGCATTTTCATTTCTTAACTTGCACACCGCATTTATTGTTTTTTATATTTATTTATTTGTATATTTATAATATTAATTAATAGAAAATATACTAACAAAAAGAAGAGGTCGCCTTGGATAAATATGCCTTTCCACATATATCGATTCAAGTGCTTCATATACATACGTATAAAGTACTCATATAATACAAAAAAAAGGGGGATAGAATACAAATTTCATACTTGAGAGTTGCCAATTGAAAACCAAAAAAAAATGAGAGGCATAAAAAGTACACCTTATTCAAAACAAAAAAAAAATAATAATAATAATATTTAAAATAAAAAACAAACAGAAAATATGTTTTTACAATTGAACTACTAAACTGCAAGCACTGTGCCCCGTGTCTGTGTGTGAGTATATGTGTGCCCTGTGTGTGTGTGTGTGTGTGTGTGTGTGTGTGAAAGTGTGTGCCTGGTGGGGATTAAGGGAGCAGGGCCTGAGCAAATTAATTACCGCCATTTATCGAAGCAGAGAGCATATTATGTAAACTCGCTAAAAGTTTAACAAAAAATGGTTGCCAAAATCATATGGTAAAAAAAAAAAAAAAAACAAACAATAAGACTAACTAGGAAGAGCACAAAGTACACGTGTTTTCGTATTTGTTGTCTTTTCTTTTTTTTTTTTTTTAAATTTTAGTTTTGTGTAGGGTAAAGTATTTATATGCAATGCCACTCAAACTGTCCCAATTGCTGCATACGTTAGCTTTTAGTGTTGCAAAACATCAGCAGCATTCAAATTTTGCGATACGCAGCAGCTGGTGCTGCTCTGCTTTGCTTTCGTTCTTTTAATGCTGCGATGGTTTAACATCCATCTAACTGTTAAGATAATTGAATTTATACACGATTCTGTTAATTGTTGTTGTTGTATTTGTTGTTGTTGCTGCCAGTTGCTGTTGCTGTTGCTGCCGCTGCCGCTGCCGCTGCCAGTTGCCGTTGCATGTCAGATATGAGCAATGTCACGTTGAGAACAGTGACCGTTAGAAATAATTATCATTCGACACATTGCGGTGGCTGTGACTGTCAGTACATATGGCATATGGCAGATGGCATTGACAGTTGCAATTGCTTGATGCGATGGAAGGGCTAGGGTGTTTGGGGGAACAGCGTTTTGGTACCTGTTACCACTGATATTCTGTCACCTCGAAGTGACTCGTTACTTGCTGTTGACCAGTAACAGGTACGCGTTTATCTCTCATCAAATCCACTACATGTGTATCGTGGCCGCGGTGTAGCGCGCCTCGCCGCGTCGCCATGACCATTGGCTGGGACGGAACTGTGACAGGGGGAGAGAAAGAATTCGTTAAATAAAGCTCAACAGAAAACGGTGTGTGCGCGCAAGCGAGACAGATGCAAAATGTTAATGTACTGTACTGTTAACCAACCTGATGTAAATGCTTGGACTGCATGTAAATATATATATATATACGTTCATATAATTTAGTATTTAAGTCGAAACCATCTTATTTTCATCGATAGACTCACCTGTATGAGCAGCTGTCCGCTCCGTGTGTGCGGATAACGGTACGCATAGAAGAGCCACAGTGTCACCGCGAACACCAGGCAAATGGGCACCATAAAACCAAACGCAACGCCCACGCTCTTATTCTCCGGCAGCACGGCGCCGAGATGCTCGCTCTTCTCGACATTAACGCCATCGCCCGACGCCGACTCAACGCCAGCCGGCGACTGCGTGCTGCTCACTGTTGGCTCTGTGGCCGCCGTGCTGGCAGCGGGCGTAGAGCTGCCCATTCCAGGGCTGCTGCTGTTGTTGTTGTTGTTGCTGTTGTTGTTGTTGTTGTTGTTGTTGCTGCTGTTCTCTTGTGCAGCATTGTTGCCCTTTTGACCCAGCGCCGGGCAGGCGGCACTGTTGTTAATCATTGAACGATCGCAGCCTGTAAATGCAAAAAGGATGAGCGATTTCCAATTATAAACCGAGCCAGCCAATCGATGTCGATAACGATAACGATAAGTTAGCATAGGTCCTGACAAATGCTAGACATAAGTCATATACCTTAAATCAATTGGTTGGGTTGCAGATCTTTAAGTTGATTTCAATTTATCGATAAACGTTAATTAACATAGCTTGATATCGATAACGATAAGTTAGCATAGGTCCTGACAAATGCTAGACATAAGTCATATACCTTAAATCAATTGGTTGGGTTGCAGATCTTTAAGTTGATTTCAATTTATCGATAAACGTTCATTAACATAGCTTGATATCGATAACGATAACGATAAGTTAGCATAGGTCCTGACAAATGCTAGACATAAGTCATATACCTTAAATCAATTGGTTGCATATCTTTAAGTTGATTTCAATTTATCGATAAACGTTAATTAACATAGCTTGATATCGATAACGATAAGTTAGCATAGGTCCTGACAAATGCTAGAGATAAGTCATATACCTTAAATCAATTGGTTGGATTGCAGATCTTTAAGTTGATTTCAATTTATCGATAAACGTTAATTAACATAGCTTGATATCGATAACGATACCGATAAGTTAGCATAGGTCCTGACAAATGCTAGACATAAGTCATATACCCTAAATAAATTGGTTGGATTGCAGATCTTTAAGTTGATTTCAATTTATTTCAGCTTAACTGCCAAAATTAGCTGTTTAAAGGGGCATAGCTGGCAGGACAAGCAAATAAAATATCTCCATGCTATTGGAAAATTATGTTTTCTAATTAGGCTTTTAGCATATAATTTGATGAATTGAATATAATTGGGAAGACACTCGCTTTGGTTAACCATAAATAAATAAATAAAGAAATAAACAACAACAATAGCAAATGGGAGCATATCGATAATGATAGCAAGGCCTGGTCTTTAGTCTGAAGCTTCAACCACTTGAGAATTATAAGCAACGGAAATGGTAAATTTGAAAATTGTACGATATATGAATGCACGCTTATCAACATCAACGTCTAGGCGTTTACTTATTGCTTTTAAAGAAAACATTTTGGGCATCTATCGATAACGATAAGAAACGATCGGATAAGAAATGGAAGTTTGGTACTTTTAAAGACTATAAAGACTATCCGGCAAAATGTTAAAGAAATCAAGCCTTGTTGCCTTTATCATAATTTCTATACTACGAACCAAATCTGAAGTAAAGATATATAATATATTATATAACAACGATGGGAAATAAAGGTCCCTTTCAATGTCAAATGCCGGCTAGAGTATTTCCTATGGCCATGGCCTATATCGATATGTATTCGGATTAAGATTTACCCTTTTGCTGCCACTCCTGCTTTCTGCGATCGTTGCCATTATTTGTAGAGCAGCGATTCAGTGTGGGGCACCAGATGCACTGTGCGGATAGAGGGTATATAGATTAGCTTGTTGCTGGGGCTGGTTAACTTAGCGACTTTGCGGCAGCTCACCTCAAATGTGGTATTGTGATTAATGCACGCCTGACAGTCGCTGTAGCCAAGGCAGGTGGGCAACGCTGTCAGCACAATGATGGTGTTATTTGTAATCTCCTGCTGGCTCAATGTGACGCGATGGTACTCGTAGATGGTCTTGCGGCGGGCAACTAATTGAAAGGACAAGCAAAAGTACGGCCATTAGACAGGGCATATGCGTAGAACGTTTAGAGCTACATACAGTAGAGCATCTTGTCGACGATATAGGCATCGGATAGGCCGACCTTGACCGGATGCTGATGGTCCTGTATGGTATTGATCAGCGTGGGCAGCTGATAGTAGACAAACACAATATCGCCAGTCTGATGCAGCGTCGCGCTGAACGTGAACTTGCCATATTCGGGCTTATCCTGCAGTGTGACATTCTCCCAGACGACGGTGAAGGCGGTGCCTGCAATAAAATGTTGAGATTAGTAAACAAGCAGCGGGTAGGTCTATATTGTTAAGTGGACTAACCATTATCCTGTAGCCGCACAAACGAACCGTCCGATATGCTCGTATCGAAATTAGCCATAAGTGGCGCAATATATTGGGTGGCCGCCAGCCAGGAGTGCACATACTCGCCCGTATAGAGGAAGCCGCCGGTGGCAACGGTTACGTTGCGCACATAATGACCATAAAATGGAAAGTCAAACTTTAGCTCAACGGTCATGGCCCGGCGATGCGACGAGGACAATATACTGTTCTCGGGTATCGCACGGAATTCAGACCAGAATTTGGACGTCTCCTCCTTGCCCACATAGAGCAGGCTGCGATAATAGTCAAAGTGATCCTCGGTTCGGGTCAGCGAGGCATTGGTCGCCTCATTGGTGATAACCTCGTCGGGCACATCCACATCATCGATGAGCGGTCGCTCGGTTGTTGTTGCTGCTGCTGCTGCTGCTGCTGGTGCCGCTGGTGCTGGTGTCGCCTGGACGGATTGGGGTGCCACCTTTTTGGGATATTGCGATGGCTGTGAGGCCATCAATTGGGTCTTCTTTGGCGGCCCAGCCGGCGCTGCGGCCACATTGATGCTGGTGGTGGCATTGCTGTAGTTGCTGGCATCGCCGCCGGCATTCGGCTGTGCGCTGAACTCTTTGCGCTGACCGGTGCCATTGACGCCCACGTTGTGCACATTGTAGGAG